AACAGCTAAAAACAGCAAACAAAAACACCCCCCCAAAGGATCATTTTTAGAACTCTTACCTTCTGTGGAACTAAGTCTTGAAAGGCAAGGCCCAGCTCCCTGCCTGGGGTACTTCATTCCTCTAATATCTTATGGAGACATGGGCCCAGCCTAACCTTCACCCTCTGTGGGGATTAATTGATGAATATGAGCCCTAGCATCAGTGCAGGACTGTATGACCACGGGCAAGTTGGCTGACATCTTGAGTGCCTTGTATGCCAAGGATAGATGTAGGGTGTCAAGGGCTGTCCATGCCCTAGCCCCCACTCCCTGAAGTGACTGGTGAGCATCAAGGATGCTGTTTTTTCTGTTTGTATTATGAATTTGCTCTTCATCCAGAGTTTAGCCTCTGGTAACCATAGGTTCTTCACCGCTAGGACAGGGTTCATCATTCCACCTTCTAGAGCCCCCTCAGTGAGGGCTTTCGCCTAACTGGAAGCACAGCATTTGCTCAGTGTCTGAAGGAGGTGTTAAAGGTCTGCTGGGCACAGGCCTGTAAAATCCTAACATTTTACAAGGACCTGGAATATTAGTCCAGCCTGGGTGACATAGTGGGACCCTCTTGAGACACACACACCCACACACATACAAAGAGGAGAAGCGGGGAAGGAGGGAGGGAAAGAAAATGATCAGGAATGGTGACTGGACGCATCTCAGGCTCTTAGGGCGGTCCTAGGCCAGGGCTCTTGCTTGGTGGGCTGCAGGTAGGGCAAGGCAGGCAGGATGATGCGGGGAGCTACCTGGCTGGGTCGTGAGCATTCTGTGTGTGACTCAGGCACAAGAGTAAGAAGAAAGCCTTTACCAAAGCCTGCAAGAGGTGGCGAGACTCCACCGGCAAGAAGCAGCTCCAGAAAGACTTTGCCGCCATGAAGAAGTACTGCAAAGTCATTCGGGTCATTGTCCACACCCAGGTCAGCACAGCCCCCACCTTCAGCCCATTCAACTTTTGGGTGCCTTCTCCCATCCCCCACCTCCAAATGAAGAGCCCTGACAAATGTCAGCTTAAAAATAGCACCAGCCCTGGGAACAGGCTCAAGATCTGGCCGGCTACTTCACTAGCCACTCTTGTCCCAGAGATGAGAGGCCAATGGCATGTGATATTTATTATGGGTCGGTGTCATCAATGGCTATAGTGCCCCATGGATGACTCAGTTACCCAAATGCCCTGAAAGGCTTGAGTCTTCAGCCCAAAGTTCAGCATGGAGAACTGGCTGTACTGGGGGTCCAGCTTGATGCTAAAATTGAACCAGAATACTCACTCTGGAATTTTCCTATGCATCTTGTCTTCAGGGAGGTACTCCCCAGCAGCAGGCCTATGCCCACTCCTTCCGGGCACATCCCCTGCTCTCTGAACACAGGCTTCTGCTACTCTCACACCTGCAGCTCACAGGTTATCAAGTCAGTGCTGGCTGCCTGCCAGGGACCATGGAGGCAGGAGTCATGCTCATTTAATTCCCCCATGGGCCCCAGGGCTTACTACAAACCTGGTATACAGTAGGAGCTCTATAAATACTTGCTGAACACCATGCCGTGACCTAACTGGTGTGTTTCCAGTTGTGTATCCTCTCAGCCTGAGACGCTCCTAGCGGCCAGAGGCTTGTTGAATGGCCTAGTTAGCAACCTACACTTGGAAGAAAGTTGGAGCCCACTCCCACATCTGCGTGGCTCTGGCACTCTCCCACCTGGCCAGACTGGCCTTTCCCATGCTGATTGCTTCTTCTGTCACAGACTCACTCAGATCTTTGCCTAGTGACTTCTCGTTGTTACCGGTCACTTCCTCAGAGAAGGCCCCCATGACCACCCTACCCGAAGTGCTGCCCATCATTTATTGGGATGCTGAGCTCTCGCCAAGAGTTTTTTACTTGGCTTTTATCTGTCCTGAAGGAGATGGTGGGACTCCCTGAGATATGGGAAGATGCTGTCTGCCTCAATCTGCTGTGCCTACATCACCCAGCATGTGACAGGAGTTTAATAATGTCTGTGAATAAATACAAGTGGGAAAGGCTTGGGGTTACCAGTGGTCGAGCCAGCCGCAGGGGTGTGGGACCTGTGAGCCGACCTTCCTGCTGTGCCTTGCAGATGAAGCTGCTGCCCTTTCGGCAGAAGAAGGCTCACATCATGGAGATTCAGCTGAATGGTGGTACTGTGGCTGAGAAGGTGGCCTGGGCTCAGGCACGGCTGGAGAAGCAGGTGCCTGTACACAGTGTGTTCAGCCAGAGTGAGGTCATTGATGTCATTGCTGTCACGAAGGGCCGGGGTGTTAAAGGTAGGGTCTGGTAGAGACAGTGGCTCCAGGGGAAGCGTGTTTAGCAGGGGACAGAGTGGCCTCATAGCCTCTGGCCCTTCCTCTCTACAGGGGTCACTAGCCGCTGGCATACCAAGAAGCTGCCAAGAAAGACCCACAAAGGCCTGCGCAAGGTGGCCTGCATTGGTGCCTGGCACCCTGCCCGAGTAGGCTGCTCCATCGCCCGGGCTGGGCAGAAGGGTTACCACCACCGTACAGAGCTGAACAAGAAGGTGTGTCCGCAGCTCTGAGGGGCCTCTAGTGGGATGGCTTGACTCGAACCCTGACTGGGTTCACGAAATATCATTACTAGTTTCAGAGTCTGAGCATGGGTGCTGGGGGTGTGTGTGGCCATGCGGCTAGCCCAAAAGCCACCTCTAACTCCTACTGCTATTTTCCCGGTAGATCTACCGAATTGGCAGGGGGCTGCACATGGAGGATGGGAAGATGGTGAAAAACAATGCATCTACCAGCTATGACGTAACTGACAAGTCTATCACACCACTGGTGAGGAGATGGCCAGGCTGGCAAACGGGTCTAGTGGGGCTCGGGGGACAGGCCCTAGGTAGGTGCTGCCCTGCCCCAAGTGGGGCTGGGGGACAGGCCCTAGGTAGGTGCTGCCCTGCCCCAAGTGGGGCTCGGGGGACAGGCCCTAGGTAGGTGCTGCCCTGCCCCAAGAGTTCTATCGTGGACATTCCACAACGGGATATCGCCCCCCACACAGAGTAGGCCCAGGGTCTTGGCAGGACGTCAGCGATGGGAGACCTGACAGGCTGCCTGTGAGCAACCACTTGGAAGTCCCAATCCTTGTTTGTTCCTGTGCCCTTCATACATGCTGAGAGCAGAAATGCAAACAGCAGGTCCTGCGGTGGCCTAGGAGTCAGTCCGGAGCTAGAGAGAAACAGCCATGCAGCCTAAGCATGTGTCTGCATTTCATGTAGCTCCTGCTGGGCTCCAACTCCCTATATAACTGAGGATGACTTTGAAATTCTGATCCTCCTGTTTCTACCTTCTGAGTGCTGAGAGCGTGTGGGTATGCCACACACCCTGTGTTTTTCTCTGTTTTCCCTGGCTGTCCTGGAACACAATCTGTCGACCAGGGTGGCTTGGAACTTTAAGATCCTCCTGCCTCCTCCTAAGTGCTGGGATTAAAGGCGTGTTCCACCATGCCCAACTGACTCCTTACTTTTTAATGTGGTGCTCAGGATCGAACACAGGGCTCAAGCACGATAGGCTAGCATTCTTCCGATTGAGCTACTGAGCCAGGGACTCACTGTTACCCAGGCTGGCCTTCAACTCTTGGGTATCCGCTGTATCACCCTCTCAAGTGCTGAATTTACGGGTGTGTGTCACCATCCTCAGCATCCCAAACTTCTGAGCTTCAGCGCCCCCGCAAAAAGGCATAGTGTCAGGTGAGACGGGACAGGAAGGATACTTAGGACGCGGCTCAGGGGCTGCTGCCTCGATGAGTGATCCGGTGTGAGGTATTGTCCCAGTGCCCTGGGGTCTGGGCACCGGGCTCCTTCACCTCCCAACCCTCTAACTTGCCTGCCTTGTGCCCGGCTTGGTGTGATCTGTCTCCCGTAGGGTGGCTTCCCCCACTATGGGGAAGTGAACAATGACTTCGTCATGTTGAAGGGCTGCATTGCTGGCACCAGGAAGCGGGTGGTCACACTGAGGAAGGTGAGTGCAGCATGGCGAGCTGGGTGGGTTGGGTTGGTGAGAGAGTGAAGGGAGGGGTCTGGCGGAGCGAGTGATCCATTGAGGCCTTCTTGGCGTGAACTGGAGGCCACAGGAGGAGCTGGGGCTCTCCATCCTTGACATCTCTTCTCCCTTGAATCCCCAGTCCCTCCTAGTGCACCACAGCCGCAGGGCTGTGGAGAATATCGAGCTCAAATTCATTGACACCACTTCCAAGTTTGGCCACGGGCGTTTCCAAACAGCGCAGGAGAAGAGGGCCTTCATGGTGAGCTAGTCCCATTGTTCTCTGGGTCTCAAAACTCCAAATCCCGCTTGCTACGGAGAGGAACTGGAAGGAGGGTATTCTTAGGGGTCTAGTAGAGCAAGCCTTGAGCAGCCCTGGTGCTGGTCGCAGGCAGTATTTCTTGACCGACTCTCCTGACTAACGCTCCTCCTGTCCCCACACCTTAACCAGGGCCCCCAAAAGAAGCATCTGGAGAAAGAGAAGCCGGAGATCTCGGGAAACATATAAGATGCCTGGAATGGAGCACACTTGGGAGTACTCCTGCTGCCTGTCCTGTCCTTTTTGCCTAATAAAGTCCTGAGGCAACTCTTAAGCCTGGGTCAAAGGGTTGCGGGGCGATGGGGACACCAAAAGGCGGGCCGACGTCTCAGGGCGCAAGATTTACGGCCTAATTAAGGCGGGCTAGGGATGCAGTTGGGTGGATGTGCGTCCACTCCAGTTGCGGGCCATTGTCATCGGGGTCCTGTGGTCTAGCTGCTCTACGAAACTCTGCCTGTGTTCAGCTTTAAGACAGGGGCTCCACGGAAGAGGATCTCGGGGCGGGGCCTTCTGGAGGCGGAAGTGGGAGGGACTGGTTGGACGGGTGGGGTTTAGGACCTACCAGAAGAAAGACTCGTCGAGGGCGGGGCTTCTAGGAGGCGGGTAGTGGGAAATCCAGGAGCGACCGGCCTTCTCTGGGGGCGGGGCTTAGAGCAAACCGCTACATGATTGGCTAATGAAAGAGGGCGGGTTTGAGTGTAGAGCTGAGGGATTTAGCGTCCCCGCAGGGGAACATTTGCCTGTCCCATTGCGGCCATGTCGTTCTGCAGTTTCTTCGGAGGCGAGGTTTTCCAGAATCACTTCGAGCCAGGTACAGCCTGCGGCATTAAAGTAGGCATCGCCTTCTGGATGGTGGTGGAGTCCCTGAGTCAGGTCGGGGCGACGGTGGCTGCTGAGGAGGAGCGAGCTTGGGAAAGAGAACTCAGAGGAGGGGCTGGCGAGGGCACTGGGGAGCAGGAGGACTTGAGAGGAGAAGGGCATTCCATTAATCTCTGTTCTCGAGGACAGGCCTTGAACTTCAGTGTAGATCTCTCTGTGCTTTGGGGTGGGTACCGCCTGTGTGGTTTCTTAGTGGTCTGGACTTTGGAGCGGAACGGTATGGATATGTGATCCAAGGCCCGCGCTGGAGATGTCCTGCTTGTGTTCCTTCCTGGACTCACTTGTTTGAGTGGACAAGCTCCGCGCTTTTCGTTCAGTCCCGAATGGCGGCCCAGGTGTCTCCCTGACCTCTCAGTTAGGTGTCAATGAAGTGTAACCAGTACAGCTTGGGTGCGGTAGCCCGAGACTGTGGTGAGTCCCCTTCTTGCTGGGTTCTGCTGATATTGGACTAATTTGGTAGAACTATGACATTGGCGTTCCTGGGAGGGATCTGTTAGATGTCAGTTCTCTCGAGGGCTGACCTATGCAACGCTGGGCTTCTGTTATAAGTCAGTTGTAATACAGGGGCACTGGGCAGAGGCCTCCCTTGATTCCCTCTTGTCTGCATCGTGCCAGTTGCCTTCAGGCTACCCTGGCAAGCTCGACACTCCACTATGTTTTGCTTCCTCTCCAGTTTCTGATACACACTGAACAGTTCACACTCCTCAAGTGATGGGTGATGGATGACCAGTTCCCTGCAAGTTCCCATTTTTAAGTCTTTCAAACAGTTACGCAAATCAGTTTTGCAACCTTATTTACTCCTTCCACTCATCTGTGTAGCTTTGTAGATCAGGCTGACCTCGAACTCACGAGATCCACCTGCCTCTGCCTCTCAAGTGCTGGGGTTAAAGGTGTGCACCACCACACCCTCCTCAGCAACCTTTCTTATATAGACCCCCAATGGGATGGTGCCAGTGTTGTCGTTTCCAGGGTCCGAGGACAAAGGAACTCGTACCAGAGGTGGGGCATATCAGTGCCTCTGCATCTGTTCCTCCTCTGCTGCAGGTGTCTACGTGTGTGCCAAGTGTGGCTATGAGTTGTTCTCCAGTCGCTCAAAGTATGCACACTCTTCCCCATGGCCAGCGTTCACTGAGACCATCTACGCAGACAGTGTGGCCAAGCGCCCTGAGAAAAACCGACCTGAAGCTCTAAAGGTGTGTGGGTAGCCCTGTGGGTGCTGGGACTGGCTGCACGCTTCCTCCTTTGCCTCCCTCATGGGGTTACCCCAGGTCTTCATCTTCAGCGGGGCACTGACACACTAAGATTGTGGTGTTGTTGGAGACAGGGTCTCTCTGTGTAGCCCTGCTGTCCTGGAACTCGCTCTGTAGACCAGGCTGGCCTCTGCCTCCTGAGGGCTGGGACTAAAGGCGTGAGTCGCCACACCTGGATTTTTGAGAGTGCTTGTGTTCTGTGAGACCGTGAGCATTAGGACGGCTTCCTTGCACAGGCCCCACCCTCAGAACTGTAGTTACCCTGGGAAATGGGCAGATGGTGGACGTGTCGTCTATCTGCAGCAGGCACAGTGACTGTGTTTGGGTCTTTTCAGGTGTCCTGTGGCAAGTGTGGCAATGGGTTGGGCCATGAGTTCCTGAATGATGGTCCCAAGCGGGGGCAATCCCGGTTCTGAATATTTAGCAGCTCATTGAAATTCATCCCTAAAGGTGAGCACCTTTGGCATCTGGGGACGTCTTGTTATAAATGAGGAAAATGCAGCAGGGAGGCACACTTGTATGCTTGTCTATCGGCTGTGGCAACATGCACCTCCCAATGTCACCTCAAGAGCTGGCTGAAGGACAAGACTAGGGGGTAAATGTCCTGGGTCCATATGGGACCCTCTCAGGGAGAGCATGGCATGAGGCTTTCTCTGTAGGCCTGGCCTTTCCCTGTGCCTGGAATCTTTGGTTGGATGTAGGGGTGGGTGAAGGCTGAGGACCTGGGCCGTGTGACCAAAGGCTTGCTTCTGAACCTGAGTGCCTGTCATTCCTCTGCATAGTGGCCGTGGTGGCACATTTTCTGTCACAGGGCTGCTGAGGACAAGTGATCAGGTACCCCTGGGGCCTAGCGCATAGTAACAACTCAATAAAACTGCTCCTTTATCTACCTTCTTAGCAGTGGTCAAGGACTATAGCAAGACCCTTTATCCATTTTTGATCTGCAAAATGGAGCTGTCAAATAACAACTGCCATTGTTTAATTGTGGGGTTAATGAGCAGTCTGGAAGGGCCTGGGGCACACTGAGCTATTGTGTTATTTGTGTACTGTCATCCTCTTCTGTTCTCTGTCTCTGGTGAAGGAAGAGGAGACGGGGTTCTAGTCCCCACCCGTACCCCCTCCCAGTCCCGAGACAGGATTTCTCTGTGTAGCCCTGGCTATCTAGGAACTTGCTCTGTAGAACAGGCTGGCCTCAAACTTGGAAATCAGATATCCACCTGCCTCTGCTTCCTGAGGGCTAGGATTAAGGCATGTGCCACCACCGCCCAGCTCTCCCTTTATTTTCATATTTGTATACGGGTGCTTTGCCTACATGTGTTTCTGTGTACTACATGTGTGCAATGCCTGAGGAGCCAGAAGAGAGCATTCCTGGGACTGGAATTACAGATGGTGGTAGCCATCGTGTGGGTGCTGCGGATGGACCCTGGGTCCTCTGGAAGAACAGCCCATCTCTCCAGCCCTCTGCCAAAAACACATTTTAAATTTTTGACTGAGTGTATTTGTGGGTGCGTACATGCCACTGCGTGTGCAGAGCTCAGAGGACAGTTTATGGGAGTTGGCTCTCAGTCTTCCACTTTAGGCCTGGGTTATCAGGTTGTTAGGCTTGGTGGACAAGTGCCTTTGCTCATTGACCTTCTCACTATCCATCGTTTTAGGGTTTTGGTTGTTTTTTGTTTTTTTTTTTTTTAAGACAGGGTCTTGCTATATGGCCCTGGCCATCCTTATACTCACAGAGATCTATTGCTTCAGTCTCCTAATAGGGTCTGGTGGTTTTGAGATAGGATGTCCATTGTGGCCCAGAGTAGCCTGGAATTTACCATACAGCCCTTCCTGATTGTGCCTCCTGAACCCCCTGCCTGAGTGTCTGGAATGCTGGGCTTGCAGATAGGAGTCATCACTTGCATGACTTAACGATGATGTGTTTTCTCTCCTCTTTTCCAGACAGAGAAGCTCCTGCCTCCCAGGGGCACGAGGTGAGCATCTGCCCACTTTTTGGCAGCCCCACTTTAGTGTTGGAACCCTGGACATTCAGACTGGGGGCCTGGGAGGAGGTGGTTGAAGCATCAGGGAGGCTCCAAATGCCTTGTCTCTGAACAGAATCACCTTAGATGGAGCACCATCTGGAAAATCTTTGCTGTTCTACCATGATAGCCCTGGGGATGGTGCTAAACCATTGGCCGTTTTGAGTCTGTGGGAGACTCTGGGTTTAGCTCATCTTTGAATGACATTGTACCCAAGCCTTCTCTTGTCCTTACTCTGCCACCCACCTCCTTGGCTGTCCACACTCACCCCTATGGGGCTCAGTTCTGGGGATGGGCCCTGGGCCTCATTAAAGCTTGTGCTTGTCTCCTCCAGGCTATGCAGGAGATGGAATGACATTGGGGCTGCCCTGGACAGCCACTCCAGCCTTGGTCACCGCATGATCTGCTCTGGTTAAATCCTTCTAAGCCAGCCAGGGTGGTGATGATCTGTGACCTTCAGGGAGGGGAGTGGGCTGATGCCGATGCCAGGGACTCTTGGACCGTTTCTTCTGGCAGAGAAAGCAGAACGCTGTTTCACAATCTGGATTCATCTTGCCTCACTCTGGCTTGGGAAAGTGACTGTTGCCCCATTACCTGACCAGTGTAGCAGGGGCCTTGATCTCCTCCCTTCCCCCAGTTCATACCTGCAGGGGTGTCCCCTTCCAAGATAAGTTCACTGTACCTTACTAATATGCTTGGAAGCTCTTGACATTTGGGAGCATGGGTGATGCTGAAACCCACTCCACCTTGAATCTCTTCTGGAATGATCAAATGGAAATCAATCAGCGTGAAGTCTGGGCCAGCTGCTAATTATTTATTTCAGGGCTGGGGATTGAACTAGGATTTTAAGTGTATGTGCCACCACACTTGATTTAAACAGTGTTCTTTTCTTTATTCTTCTCACATAGAATACATTCCAACCACAGCTTCCCCTCCCTCTCTTCCTCCCAGTTCCCCATCACCATCTCCTCTCCTCCCCCTCAGATCCTCTGCTCCTCTACTTCCCTTCAGAAATGAGCAATGATGTCAGCCGAGCACAGCATAACAGGGTGCAATAAGAGGAGGCATAAATCCTCATATAAAGGCTGGCTGAGGCCACCCAGCAGGAGGGAAAAGATCCCACAAACATCAACAATGGCAAGCACCCGCCCAGAGCCATGGGGAGGGGTGGGTCTTCTTCATAGGTCTCTGAGCCAGCAGCAGGAGGGTTCCTCAGTCTTGGAAGGCAGTGTAGGTCAGGGTTGAAGGTCTTTTTTTGTTTGTTTTTTGTTTTTTTTCAAGACAGGGTTTCTCTGCTGTGGCTTTGGAGGCTGTCCTGGAACTAGCTCTTGTAGACCAGGCTGGTCTCGAACTCATAGAGCTCCACAGAGCTCCACCTGCCTCTGCCTCCCAAGTGCTGGAACTAAAGGCCAGTGCCACCACCGCCCAGTTTGGGTTGAAAGTCTTGAAGCTTAGAAGTGTCAAGCAGGGTCCAGGGCTACAGGAGTTTGAAGCATTTGTGTGGAGGTGCTCTGGGCCCTGGGCTTGGGATCTTCCTGGCCCACTGTTGAGATGCCCCCAGGAATACAGGGAGGTGGTGTCTTTCTCTGGTGATATTATCTGCTGATCAGCTAGGGCTTGCCATTCTGAATGACCTCAATGGTCCCAGACTGCTGTCAGGGGAGATTCATGCTCTGGGATTTCTATATTGAGGGAGAGGTATTAGATCTCAGTGCAGGACCCCTGGCTCCCTCTTCAGCCTCCAGCAAACTGACTATAGGCGCAGGTGCTCCTCTCCCGGGGTACTGTTAAAATCTGTGGTCAGGCAATGGTGGCGCACGCCTTTAATCCCAGCACTTGGGAAACAGAGGCAGATGGATCTATTTGAGGCCAGCCTGGTCTACAGAATGAGTGCCAGGACAGGCTCCAAATCTACACCGAGAAACCCTGTCTTGAAAAACAAAACAAAGTCACTATTAGTGTTAACCATGAGTCCTTATTCTAAGTAAATCTTCTGATGTTCATGTTCCCATAATTTTCTAATTGACACCCTAATTGGCACCTGTGGGACTCTCTCCTCTCCCTTGTTAACCTGACTGCCTTGAGCAAAAGGACTGTCTCAGACTACCTTACATCAGCACTGGCTGTCTTGAATATCCTATGGCTGTCTAGAGCAAACTGTGATGATCAAAGTTGATTGCTCCAGGCTTCTGAAGGCTCAACTTCAGCTAAGGGTGTTTGAAACAATTTATACCAGACTTTTTTTGCTATCACAAACCTTGTGAATTCCTGATGATCCTGCAACCGTTTCCACCCAGACCAGAGAAGAAGCACTTCTTTTGATGGCCTAGCAGAGGGACTGTGGTGGTGGGTGCTAAAGAAACAGGCTGTGGGGGCTCGAGTGATGGCTCAGCGGCCAAGAGTACTTGTTGCTCTTGCAGGGACCTGGGCTTGGTTTCCATCATCCACATGATGACTCACAACTATCCATAAATTCAGGGGATCCAGTGCCCTCTTATGACATCTAAGGGCATCAGACAAGCACAGGGTCCACATACGTGTAGGCAAAAGCACTCATACACATGTAATAAAGTAAACATGAAAATATTAGGAGAGAAACAGGCTGTGACTGGTGCAAGAACAAACTGTCATTTGCATGGGAGTTGTGCTATGGTTAGTACAGATGCTTATTGCACTATATAAGCAAGGTGTTCCACTCACTAGATTGGCTGAAAGATACGGTCCTGTGTTTGCCTTGGTGTTGCTAAGGCCTAATAAGAGGCTTCCATTAGTGTTTTTCCTTGCTCACGGTTAGCAGTGCAGGCTGAGCTCATAGCAGGGAGAGAAAGTGGCAGAAATACTCGGGTAAAGGCAGAGGAGTGGCAGCCTGAGCTACAGAAGCACGGGGCCAAGGCTGCTTGACAACTCTTTAGCTGTCAAGAGGGGGTATGGCTAGACCTCCAGCTAAGACATCAGAAACAGGAGTAGCTGTCTCTCAAAGGGCAACATGGGTGACAGAAGTCAGTAATGAGAGGCAGCTGGGAAACAGCAGGAAGACTAGTGGAAGTAGAGGCCAGAAGATAGGAGGCTGTAAGGCGCTAGACAAGAGAAACTGAAGGAGGAGTTCCAGAAAGCCGACACACCTTAGACCAAGAATTTCAGACACCCTAGGCGTAGGGGCTGTAATACTGGCTGTTGTCAAAGGTAGAGGAACCCTGGATTGGTAGGCCTACCCAGAAAATGTAGGACTAAAGAATCACCACTGGAGGGCGCCACGAGTTCACATAGCTCCCTGGGGTCAAAATCAGAGCTACAACAGTTCAGCCCCAGATGAGCTAACTTCTTTTCTTTTCTTTTTAAACCTTATTTTACCTACCAATCCTAGTTCCCTCTTCCTCCAGTCCTCCTGCTCCCCCCACCTTCTCCCCACCCAATCCCCATCTGCTCCTCAGAGAGGGTGAGGTCTCCCATGGGGAATCATCAAAGTGTGTCACATCATTTGAGGCAGGACTGTAGGGAAAAGAGTCCAGGCAGAGAAACACACTTTGGCCCCACAACCAGAAAAAAGAAATGCACCCTGACCCTGAAATCAGTGCCAAAGAAACACACTTTGTCCCTGGAATCAGAGCCCGTAAAAGAAATACACCCTGGCCCTAAAACTAGAGCCAAAAGGCTAAAAAGGACCAGAGAAAGAAACACACTTTGGCCCTGAAACCAGAGCCAAATCTGACCCTAACCCTGTGCAGAAACTAACCAATCCCTGAGCAGAAGATCTAGCCATCCTAAGCTCAGGAATTGAAATCTGACCAATCCCCATCCTGGAAAAACTTCCCTGTCCCCAAGAAGCCCTATATAAACCCTGTGTCTGTTCAGCTCGTGGCTGGCTGTGCTGCCTGCTGTCCTCTGCCACTCTGGCAGATGACACCCACTCTCCTGGATTCTTCCCTCCCAATACATCTCTTGAATGAGATTTGGGTGAAGATCTTCTTTTTCAGTGGAGCAGAGAGCAGGGCTGTAACACTTGCTGGGGGAGACCTTCCCCTCAACTCTGCTCTCCACTCTCCGGGGAGCAGAGCTGAACTGTAGCAACTTCGCCGGGAGCAAAACTGCTACACTGGGCAAATATCCCCAGATACACTGGGGAAGCCTTTCCCTGAAGCAGGGCTGTATGCTACTATGCTTACTGTGACCTGTGGTATTCTTAGACTCCCAAGTGCCGTAATCCATCCCCGTCTATCCCATCCGATCCGTTGAAATGCTTACAAGGACCAAGGCCCTCCCCCATGTATATAGACTGAGCAAGGTATTCCTCCATAGGGAATGGGCTCCAAAAAGCCAGTTCATGAAATAGGGATGAATACTGGTTCCACCTCTAGTGGCCCCATAAACTGCCCCACCCCTAACTGTCACCCACAGTCAGAGGGCCTAGATTGGTCTTATGCAGGTTCCCCAGCTGTCAGTCCGGAGACAGTGAGCTCCCACTTGCTCAGGTCAGCTGTTTCTGTGGTGTTTCCCATGGTCTTGCCCCCTGTAAGATCTAGTTTCCTGATTTCTCACAATTTCTGTTCATTTCTACCCTTAGAGCAAAAGAACCCAAGTCAGTGAATTGGTAACAGCATGTCATCCTCAGAGCATGGGCTCCTGAGCCTGAATCCAGGTCTGTCCCTCCTGTTACTGACAGTCATCTTCCAGTCCTTGGGGACATCGTTGGGGGAGAGGTGGGTGGACTGTGCCAGAGTGGTCAGCTGTGAAGTCCTGTAGATGAGCTCAGCCCTCCCCACGGTGCTGAAGGGTACCCATGCCTACAGACGTGGTGGGAGCCACGACACTGGTTGAGTGGAGCAGGCTGGAGAATCCTTTTCTGTGGGCTCTACTCATCCGCCCACCCCAACCCTAACCTGATCATCTGAAGATCACCTTCTCACTGCTCCGAGTTAAACTCGGAAGAACTACACTGTTGCGAGTTTAACTGGGCTGGATGTGGCGGCCCACGCCTTTACTCCCAGCACTCACGAAGCAGAGTCCAAGGCCAGCCTGGTCTACAAAAGGGTATTCCAGATCAGCTGGGGCTACACAGTGAGACCCTGTCTCAAAAACAAACAAATAAACAACAACAGCAAAACCAAGATGACCTGGGCCGCATTGCAAGAAGCAATTACAGTTCCTAGTTATAGATTCTGGGAACCAGGAAGTCCCTCTCTCAAGAAAAATGAAATATATGAGGGTCTTAGCTGACCATGGTAAAAGCAATTGCCTGTCACTGCTGCCATCTCTGTCCTCTTTGTTTGTTTGTCTTCTGAGACAGGGTTTCTCTGTATTGTTTTGGAGGCTGTCCTGGAACTAGCTCTGTAGACCAGGCTGGCCTCGAACTCAGAGATCTGACTGTCTCTGCCTTCCTAATGCTGGGATTAAAGGCGTGCACCACCAATGCCCGGCTTCATCTCTGTTCTCTTATTACTGAAAGCTAAGTGGGGGCTGGGATCTCTTTTTGTTTGTTTGTTTATTAAGACAGAGTTTCCTCTGTGTATCCCTGACTGTCCTGGAACTCACTCTATAGGCCAGGCTGGCCTCAAACACACAGATATCCACCTGCCTCTTTCTCTTGAGTGCTGGGATCAAAGGCATGTATCACCACCATGGTGGGCTAGGATTCTCTTTTAATAAAGTAGGAAAGGGAGGTTCAGGGGGCTCTCTCTCTGTCAAGGACACCTATCGGGAAGGGGAAGGGGAAGGGAAAGCCCCTAAATCCTTTATGTTGTCAGCATTGTCCCTCCCTGTTCCCAGAGTGGGCTCTTGCCTGCGGTGAACTAAAC